GAGGTGGCTGGGATCAGATAGAAAGGCTGCACTTATTAAAAAACAAGACTAGAAAGTCACTCTTGGCACAGAGAACATTCAGTAAGAAATCACAGATCTAGAACTGGAAAGATCACTGAAGCTCAGGCACAGACTAACAAATTAACAGTTGAGGCTTGAAAAGCGCAATGTAAACAGTGCACTTTGTTTTGTGTTGAATGAGCAGAAACATTACTGGAAAGACCACCAAGGAGGAATTGTTCGAAAGCACCAGGACACTGATTGTACACAGTAGGGGGTTCAATAAACACCTGTTGACTAAATGAATGACTGTTTCCTTAGTGTATATGTTAATTCATTCATTTAACCATTTAAATACTAATGAAATTAAATTCAGTAAGTAAAAAATTCAAATTAAATAATTTCTAATTCAAGGCATTTTGCAAGCATGAAAGGATATACAAAAATGAAAAAGCTAGAATCCGTGTATTCAAGTAGCTTAATCTGGCATACAAAAATAGCTTTAACAAAAACCTCCCAGTGATCATCACAGAAGCAACATAAAGTGCCACTGGATTTGGAAGGAGAGAAGGCTGGACTAGTAAGACAAATATAGAGCTAGCTCATGCAAACCAGCCGGTTACTACCTCCACCCCTGTGCTCCCATTATTTTATTGAGATCTAGAAGAGGTGCAATCAGGCTGAACTTCATGAGGGACACCAAATATGTAATAAAGAAGCAAATATGATTCTGCTTGAAGGGTTCAGGTTCCATGACATGGGTGTTCAAGTGGATGACCTGCACACCACTCTGAACCCAGGGCCACTAGTCACCAACGTAAGGTACTGCTATATCAGTTCCATGAAGCTAGTTCCAGAGAATTTGTAATAAAGTTAAAAAGGGGTTTCTCCAAAGTTCAGGAGTTCCCTTAACTTCATTTCTTGGAGTTCAGAGGCCACATGCATTGTTTCTGCACTGAATCAGATGCTGCACTAGAGCATGATGGTGATGTGCTGCCCGCTGGCTGAGCCTGCAAGGTGGGATGGGTCTGCCACATGGCATGGGCTTTAGCGAACAACCAGCAAAGTTAGCAAGAGGAGGTGGATTCTGAGCTAACTTGAAAGATTAGCAGGTTTCAGTTAGTGCAAATCCAATGGGATAAGGAAAGAGGAAGAATATTCTAAATGGATGCAACAAAGCTCAGGGATAGAAAGGCATGAAACAAACAAACAAGCAAACAAACAAAAAAAACAACTGAGTTAAGTGTGAGCACACTTAAGAAGATGACAGACTAGAAAAGGGAAATCTTTGAAGATCTTGGACAACACCTTGCTATGAACATTATTTTCATTTGCCAAGGTGAGATACCGACAATGACTTAGTACTGGCAGCTACTTTTTTTCTTTTAAAGATTTATTTATTTATTTATTTATAGAAGCACTGGGTACAGTCAGAAGCGTGGGAGGGTGAGAGAATTCACCAGAGCCAGAGAGGGGAACAGAACAAGCAGAGTGACAAAATACACTGCTGAGGGCAACAGTGGGCGCGGCAGGAGAGGTCTGCGTGCCATGTGGGATCCTTGCCGGGGGTCGAACCGGTGCTGCAAAGGCTGCAGGCAGCTTCGCAGCCCAGCACTCAACCACTGCGCCAGCAGGGGAGGCCCTGGCAGCTAATTTTTAAATGGAAAATAGGACTGCTGTTTTATTACAACTTTATGAATGGCTTAGGCTTAAGTCTCAGGCAGCCAGGTAACTCTCCAGACCAACCACCAAAAAAAATCAGCACAATCTTGACTAAGAGTGCCTGCTGCTCGGGCATGTCTTTTTGCTTGTCCATTGTTTTCTCCCTTGGGGTTGGACAAATTCTATTCATCTTATCAAAGACACCTGACACAGTGTACAAACTAAATATCTGGGGAGTACCTTGACCAAACACCACCTTCCTCCTGTCTTCTCTACATGAACAGTATTTCATAGTATTTACAAGCATGGACTGTGAAGTCAGGTAGATGTGGTTTCATTTTATAGTGCAACACAGGCACAGGATCAGTCATAGAAACAGTAAAAAGTACATGATGTGAACACAAACAGAAGTGATAGGACAAGAATGTTGTTGCGAAACAGGCTAGCCTCTGATTGCAGCCAACCTTTCTTTCCTAGACCCGCAGAGCAGGAAACAAGCTCCCCCTGTATACTTACGACCAGTACTATGCAGAAAACTCAAACATAAAAACAGCATTTGCAAATAAATTAAGTATTAAGGGCAACATCACAATCTGATTGAAAAAGGCACTTCACTGATAGTATATAGTAGCATCTGCCAAATCCCAAAACAGCAATGTTATCTATGTTGAGAAAAATCAATCACTTATCATTTCTACTTCTCTAAAAGTCTGTTTGCATTCCATCTTTCATTTCAAGTTTACTTTACATTTAAAGGATGAAGGGAGCATATAATTACAGATTATAGAGAGCAAATCTTAAAACTCAGAGTAAATCTTATTCTGAGAACATATTAAGTGTCACTAAACATCTTTTAGCTGATGGATGATGAAAAGAAAACCTCCTAAACTACAAAATAAACATCTCTAAGACCTTTATATTTGCACTTTTAGTTCTTTTTATGTCACTAAACAACCTGTGTTTCTAAAGGAAATTTCATTATTTGTAATTATTATTTATAAGAGATTAAACAGAAATTCTTGCTCTCCTTGAATAAAGCATTTTTTAGTTGACTTCAGAATTACTGAATTATTCAATTAACAAAAAAGGCACTGTGTCTCCTTTAGTATAAGCAGGCCCTGCTAAGGCATTGATGTGTACGGTCTCCAACTAGATTTGTAAAGTTACTTAAAACTTAGAATATCTATTTTTATGTCTCCCTAAATTAATATTGAAAATGAGCATATTCATTTACTTCTCAGTATTAAATTTAAAAAGAAATACAATCTCTCTGTTTTATATAATTTAGGAAGGTTAGTTTACTAGCTCTCTATTGCTCCAAGGATAGATTTTAAGAAGTTATTTATTTTGAGTAGCTAATATGATTTGCTATTGGTATTATCAAATCAAGAACTAGGACACATTTTCTACTTATTTCTGGCCTTGAGCCTGAAGGCCTAAAGATATCAGCAAATGAATAAACCAAAGATAAAGACTAATTATTCTTAATAATATATGTTTTGAAACAATGCAAACATCCAATATTATAAAAAGTTATAGCATTATTTTGTTCTCTGATTTTTTTTAAAAAGGCCTGTACAGTTTCTCAAATCCCTATTTCCTGTATATTTGCTGAAGTTGCATTCATTTATGAGGTCCTAGGTGGAACAGTAAAGGCATTAACCATTCACGATGGGCAATGAAGAAATTATGTTCCATGAGTCCAGTTTCAAGCATCTCTCTCTTATTCAAATTCCTAAGGGTGTTTATTGAAAAAATTTAAATGACCACTTATTTACACTCACATTGCATTATCTTTATAAATGGTACCTGTTTGAGTAGTTGGGAAATGAAAAAATAAAGAGAGCTCACCATTTTTCTTTGATAACTACACAAGCTGCTATACTGGGATGTTCTTCCTCCTCTGAACACCAGAAGCTGTCCCAAAGCCCCTGAATACATCTGACTCTTAATGGAAACTGTCACCCAGGAATTGTCTTGACTATGGCCTGCCCCAACCTCTTTGCCTCTTGTCTTTCAATTGTGCCAGCAGCAGACCACATAGAGAAAATTTATGTCTAAGTTAAAATACCCAGAGCATCCTGTCTCCAAACATAACAGAGGAAGCAGTGATAAAAAGCTATGAAGTCAACGCAACGCAAATGCGTCCAGAGTAACCTTTCAAAGGAAGAACATCTCCAGCAGAGACTGGAGAAGGGCTGAACAAGGATTCGGTTTTCCTGCGTGAACACAGATTGTGCAGCTAGACCCATGCCTTCTCCTTCTGCTCAAGTTTCTAAGATGTTTGCTACAGGATAAAAAAAATTACCTAATAGTATGTTCGGGGAGTTGTCATCTAGAAAAAATAAATTTGGGTTTCCAAGCTCAAGTAGCCCTTAGGATTACCGAAAAATTCTTTTTCTCTCTCCCAATTCCCATTAGGGAATGGACAAAAAATGGTTAAAACAGGGTGTGATGAAAGGCTTGAGACTGAATACTGACTGTAATACTGACTCATATGGCCTTGTACTGCATTACCAATGAGGATATTGCTTCTGGATTATGTAGGGATGTCCCCTGAAGACTAGTAAGTAAATAGCCAATATTTTTTCAACTATCTTTGTGGGCTACTTCTCTAAACTTAGTTGCTTCATTGGTCAGGTAAGGATGACAACTATCCCTCATAAAGTTGTTCTCAGCGTTAAAAGAAGTATAAATAAGAGGTTTTGCATTGTTTCTGAGACAAAGAAAGAGTTAATGTTGCTCAATCTGTTCTAAAACTTAACCACTTTCTAACCCCAGCCCAATTCCTGACATTATAAAGACAACTGAGCTTCTTCTGTCACAGATAATAGAGATCATCAGATATGAAATTCCTTAACTGTCTTCCCCCTACCTTCCACATTCAAATCCGCACACTATTTTCAAATAAGTATGTTTATAATTACCTGGAAATTATATAACTGTGTATGTGCAACATCTTGTTATTCAAGGCATTGATAGAAAAAGTTATTACTGTGTCATAAACTTTAAGTGTGTGTCAATATTATTGCTTCCTTTGTAATCCTGTATCTTTTATTTTAAATATTTTAAAACACCTGTCTAAAAAAAAAAAATGGAGTCCTTGGAACCAAAGAGCTTCAAATCTGATGCAGCACAGTTAAATATGTGGACATTCACTATGAAAACAGTGGTTACTATGCAAAAAGTGAAAAGAGATTTCAGTGAAAAAGCAAAAATGAAGATCATGTTAGTAGAATCTTGAGTTTTTCTCTCTTAAGCTTGCTGTTTAATTATTTTTACAATGAATAATTTAAGAGAGTCATGATATCTTTAGAGCTATTTCTCCCCTCATATAGTTTCAGAATTGTCAGATTTGCTCCCATCGAAGACACTATGGACTATTTGTCTAACTAGCCATGAATAAGCCTGTCAGAAAAAGAAGGTGCAACGGCAACCGAGAAATAAGGTAATTCCAAACATGCAGATTTTTTTCGTGAAATTAACAATGCCCTACCTACATTATCTACAATGTTTTTCTCTGTCATGAAAAAATTAGCTGACCAATCTCAGACAGGTATTAGGCTAATTCAGCAATTAACACTTCAGCCAAAGGGTGAGAACATTAACTCATTTAAAACTTCATTTCAATTACAAGTAAATATTGTTCAGATGCTAGGTGACATCTTACTTATTTTTGGCATAGCTTTCATAATGAGCTTTCCATCCTTCAATTCTTAATGGAATTTCTCAATATTTAAAAATTCCATTTCTGTGAGATCTTTTCAAAAAGATCAGTGAATTACCCAAGCAGATGTATAAAAGAACTTGATCACACTTGAAGAGATATATACTGTTTATATTATGGCTCATTGGCAATCATAAAATTGAAGTGCAGCTTTCTATCATTCACATTACTTTTTAAAAAGATGAAGATAATACAGTTCATTGTGAAATTCACACACCTCTCTTTCACTTGGGTGTGGGCCTCAGTGTCTGTGGAGAGTCCTTAGCTGCTCCATGCAACAAGAGTACATGCAGGATCAGGGCAGTAAAATAGAAACTGCTTTTGTCTAATGTCAAGTATATTATATGCATTTTTGTGTTATAATTTTGAGGCCAAAGTAATACTTTTGAAGAGTAAATTATAAACAAAAAACATTTTTGGAATCTTTCCCAAATTTCCCTGGCCAGATGAATGAAAATGAGGAAACATAAAGAACTGCTAAAGAACTCCAGTATTCCTATAGTGAAAGCAACATCTGGGGCCTCATGAAGTTCTCTGGCATCTGAGCAATTTTCAAGCTGACTCAAATGTCCTCACCCCTACCTGCCAGACTAGAGGTACTGAGGGAGACCACAGTCTGAGTTTCAACTTTCCCACAGGGGCAGGGGTCCAAGACGAGACTCTTACTCTTCAGTTGCTAGAGCTATACTTCATGGATAACTATCAGAATTAATGGAATAATGGATCCAAAATGCTTTCTAGAATAAAAGGTTTACCAATCTGACCATTGTTGATGTTTTCTTTAAAACATAAGGGGAAAAACATGAAATAGAGAATGGGAATATATAATACATCAATTCCTTTCAGGTGGCTAATGCAAAAGGCACAAGAGCTTTTTTGGGAGCATGACACAAATGGGGTACAAAATCACATCACACTGGTTATAAGGGGATTGTACCACCAAGGAACAAAAAGCGTGATATCTAAACAAATGTTTACAAAACACAGTAACCCCATTTGTTGAAACTGGCTGGAGCCCTATGTCTGGCAAGCAACTCTTCTCAAACTAATCTGTACCAAGTCCTCTAATTTGGCCTTACTTAGCACCACATGATAAACTAATTTTCAGAGTAGTCACTAGATTTTATCTATGTAGCACTACATCAAAATACATGAAAATAGACATCTGGGCTCATAGACCCTTTTTAAAGTAAAGGGAGGATGAATTTCTGCTTTCCTCTGGGGAGAAAACAATTTACATGATTTATATGGTAAGTAAAGTGTTTTAGTTAAAAAAAAAACTGTATTGGTGAGGTAGAAAACCTATTCTATTATACTACTAGATTTATGGGAAGTTTACCCAACTGTTATACATATATACATTTATATATACATAATTTTCATATTTTTCTCAAATGAATTCAGACCTACACTCTGGACTGGTATTGGGTTAAAACCATTTCTATAAAAGTAACAAACTGAAATTTCCAGTGACAATTATCTGAGAGCCCCCAGGAAAGAAAAAGTCACCTGTTCAGGCTGCCTTGAAATATTCATGAACTCAGCAGAGTATCAGATTAAAAACAGAGTCCTTAAACAGTGGAGATTTTTGAATCCTGTGTCCTTCCTCCACCCCCCCATGTTTTAGGTTTTATGATGGTTTTCACAATTTGGCACACCTTCTTATAAAATACTTCCATGTCCTACCAGGATTATAGTTTATCTTGCAAATCTTTATTTAATGAACAAGAACAGGATTAACAATTCTTCCTCTTGCAGATAAAGTATGGTTATTAGTACACCTGTATGAGAATCCCTGACTGTGGGGTGATATTGTGGTGTGTGTCTATTTTGGAAAGTGACAGTTGCACACACTGGATATATGTTACAGAAAAACACAAACTCTTACAACATGAGTCAAAGGGAAATATGCCTAGGAAGTTTTACATGTTGGGGGCAAGGGGATACACCATATACCTCTAAGCCAAATAAAATGGTGCTATTGTTTTGAGTAGTCCCCTGTACTGAGTCTTCTGTGGGAGGCAATAATGATGTATCATTTAAAAAAAAAAAAAAACCTCGCCCATTCTCAAGTCATTCCTTTATTTGCCCATACCAGACACTAATGCAAAGGAAGCTTAACCCCACTGAAAACATTTTAAACCTGATCAAATTAAGAGCAGCAGCAGAGGGAATATTTTTCTTAGCAAAACCCAACAAGCAATTTACTAGACTAGAGAAAAAAATGCAAAGAAATTCTCTATCACAAAAATAGCTTCTTGAATCTTTTCACCAATAAACCTTCCATCCATCTAAGAATGCCTATCCTTGCTGCTGATAACAAATTGTGGAGATAAATATTTTTTCTTTAAAACCCCAAATGATGTTTTCAAATAAAATAAAAATAAAACTACTACATGCCACTGTCAAAAATGGTCCTAGAAGAGGTAAATGTTATTTTAAAAACCGTGTGTTAAAATATTTAGGAGAAAGAATTTACTTGTCAAGTTTCCACAGAAAGCTCTGAAGAAGTTGTAAGTACATCTATCAAATTTTCATTTACCTTGAGGGGAACCTACTGGGGAAACCACAGAAAGTGGGTCTTGCTCACTTGTTAGGAGGGAGCTGGATGGGGTTTACAGATCTGGACAGTAATACAGTAACAATCAAGTACAAAAATGGAGCTTGAGAGAGGCTCTGCAATAGTTCCCTGACAAGATACACTGGCAATGGGAGGCAGACAGCTACATTCTGCTTTAAGTCCCAGTTCCGGTGAAGGAATTGAACCCATCTGACAACCAATGCCTCTTGAAAGAATTTGACTCCCTCACACCAAACCTAGCAAAGACGTACCCCTCAAATATTTGCAAAGAAAGCCAACCCAGTAAAACCCAGGACTTTCTTAAATTTAAATTTAAATTTAAACAGCTTCCAAACCCTACCCTTTGGGAATTAAATTTGGTGACTTTTTTTTCAATAAGAAAAAATTGGTTTTAAGGAGCTTATGGGAACATTTAACTTGGACTGGAAAGGCTATTTGTTCAGCGTTAGGCTAAAAGCCAAAATCCACTTTTAGCCAGAGGTGATTTTAATATTATACCTCCCAAGAGTATTGTGTCATGTGAGCAGGCAGCAGCGATAAGCAGTGTAGTAAAGTTATGATTTTCCCCCAAAGACTCATTAAAATGTATTATTAAGTAGAAAAAATTTCAGGAAAATCCAAAAGGAACCTGTCTGTACTATCTCAGAAACAGTAAAAATGCTTTCCAACTTATCACTTCTTTCACTCTGCTTCCTCTACAAATACCACTAAATAAATACTGTGAAAAATTCGATCCAGATGCAAGAGGATGAAAATGCCTTAACATTGTGTCACTATGATGCTCTGTACATAGTCTTCCCTTAAATTTGCTACAGAGGAATATATGAAGAATTTGAGTGACTATAAAGAGAAATAAGCCTGTGATGATTCCATTACAATTGCATCCATGGATTTAAATGCATTAAGCTTTTTTTTTAATTAGTCAGCCACAAGATACATTAAAATATGAAATATCTCACAGAAAAATAGTAACTTTCTCAATTTCAATTTTTAAATTCTCAATTTTAGTAACTCTAGTATAATTCTTCTTTCTTTCTGTTTTAGTTTTTAACTCATGTTAAATTATTTTCCCCTCAACCATTCTTGAAAGTTTCTGCTACCTCTACAATTAAAAAAAATGTAATGACTTAAGTCAGGCAAGAGTGATTTAGAAAGCTTGACCAAGTATCAACTTTCTTACCCAATCCTTCAAGAATGGTAAAGCACACTTGCAAAGGCGGTCCAAGCTGCTATGGAAATGACATTCTTTTCTCACAGTAACAGTACTCCCAGCTGAGGACTGCTGGCATGCAAGTTCCTAATCCAAGCCCATTGACAGCTTGTGGAGTGGACAGATGAGGCGTGGAAAATATTTTAAATTAGTTCATTTATCTTGTTGAGACATAGGAAACAGCAACAAATTTCTCCCATAAAATGAAGAATAGAGAAAGACAATGCACCCCTAGCAATGTGTAGAAAATCTAATCTATTAAGTCAAAACCCCAGACTATTTCATAATGCCTAATAATAGCCACATCTCATATCCTGAGGAAACTTTTTATGATCAAAAGATCCAGAAAGATGACTAGAAATCACTGACTGCTTCTGAATTTTTGATGGACTCAAATTTTAGAAGTCAAATCATTTCCAAATCAATGCTTTTTGACTGATTTAAGGCAGATCATGGGTCAATGTTAATCCTGATAAATAAGTCTCAGAAAACTGAAGAAAAAAAAAAAGGCAAACAAACTGAAGGGTACTAAAGGAGAGTTCAAAAATACATTTTTTGATAAGTTCATTCAAGAAGGGCTTGTGAACTCCCCCTCAAAGTTAATGGAAAAAAAAACCGGCCTTTATTCTAGGTTCTCCTGGTCACCCCAAGAACTTCTGGCTTCATGTTTCCTTTCCATCTGATGCTGACAATGCACCACTTACCCACTGGTAGGTTGTCAACCCCACTTCATGAGTAGTCACAAGGCAGGGGCTATAAGCTTAGAAGTAGAAGCCAAGTGGACATAGGCAGCTTAACTAGCTGTACCACAACTAGCTGTACCAGCATCAATGGGAATCAGGGAATTCTGTTAAAAATATCAACCAATTTCCCTCAACTAGAACTTCTGATTCACAGATGTGAATAGGAGTCCAGAAATCTGTATAAACACCACAAGCGAGATTTGGAAATCACTGTAGCATCCCAAACCAACCCCCTTCAGGATGGAGAAGCAGACAGAATTTTGAAAATCTTTATATTCTCTTGCATAATTTTAAGTAGACATTTAAAATTTCTCATCATAACCTAAAATAATGTGAAAGTTAGAATTCTTGTGTATTAAAATATTGACATTTAGAAATGAAACACATATCTCTAAGTCTCATAGTGATTTAACAACTCCATTACCCATTTAAAAAAGAAAAAGCTCTTCTTGAACAGATTATATAGGGTTTCCCGTTCTCTTTAACTTACATTAGCTCTATTCCATTTTCCCCACAGAATTTTATTTAACAAGAGACTTTTATGATCAAAATTCCTTTTTAACTACTCTACCATAATCCTCTGTAACAAAAATATGCAAACTAATTGAGCTTTCATATTTTAATCTAGTATAAGAGTTCAAGTTAAAAAAGTCTAGTTTAAAAATCATTACACTTTTTAGTTTATAATTGATCAAAATAATATATATCATTACTAATTATTAAAGCAAAATATCAATGTTTTTGGAAATGTATCTCAACTAGTTAAATGAAAAAAACTTTAAATGAGTTTATGTAATTTATGAATATATATATACTACAGACTAGCCGGGTGAAACAGGTTTCCATGTCATTTGAAGTTTGGTGGTATTATTTTGTTTTGTTTTTCAAAAAAAAAAGTTCACATTAAATAGTGGATGGGGCAGAGGAGCTCTGCTGCAGCAAAGGCTCTCAATTCTTTTGAGCTCTTTCCGAGTTATACGCCTAAATTTGCACACCAGTCATTCGCCATCACTACCAGCTGACATCCTATGGGTTCTCTTTCAATTCTGTCAAAAGTTAAGGAGCCATCCATGTTGTAAAATATCAATATACCTGTTACCCAGTTATTACTTTCTTTTTTTTTTCCAAATTTTATAAGGCCAGTACTTTTCAGGATTTCTGTTTAGCATGCCAGATTCCTTCCAACATGGAGTAGGGGCCCCCAGCACCATTAGAGCCTACCCTTGTGCCTATCCTTGAGTTATACAGGGGTCACTTCAGAGGTGCCTGCCAGAGATGCTGCAGTTCAAGGAGAAGAGCACTCTGACAGTAGCTTATACACAATAAAGGGTCGGCAGGGTGGCCCCAGCACAGCATCTACTTCCCAGGGGCAGTGTGGCTAGCTGGGCAAGGAGGGACAGGAACTGAGTGAGGTGAATGTCTATCTTAGAGCAGTCTATACTAAAGTGGACTCTCCTGTCTCTGCTAGCCTTACTTTTTGATAAAGATTCCAACGAGAAACACAGAACAAAATGTAGATAATTATCCCTTCTCTGATAGGAGGCACATCTATTCAATAGAGCAGTAACTATTCCCATGCTAGAGTTGCAGCAATCAATGTAGATACATGAGGACACACATTCCAAATCCTGTGTGATCTTAGAAATTCACAATTAGGGCCTTGGCATTTTAAAATACAGAAATATCTACCAATTTGAGATCATTTTTAAAAAGTTCTTGCTTGCTCCGAACTGAAATCTACCAGAGATGTATAACTTTTTAAAATTTTTTTAAAATAAATAAAGAAATAAAAGAAAAAGAAAAAAAGCTGAGCTTCTCCACTGCATGCTCTATTCACATCAGGAGGGGTTAACATAAAAGCCCAGTGGGGGAGCACTGTTTTCTATAAATGCTAAGATTATCCCACCATGCAGTCTGAGAAGAAAAACACAACAGAAAAAAAGAAAACATAAAAAAATCCCACAATCCTATGAACAGAGGTGGGTGCTGGACCATATCCTGAACTCTTACCTTTCTGTGTCTAGCAGGAGTTTTCACTATGATGCCATATGCAAGCAAAATGAAATGTCATCCAAGGACCCAGAGCTGCTCAGGTCAGCCATCACCACTACACATTTTACAGTGTATAAGTTGGGTTAAGCATCAGACCAGAAAGAGTCTATTTCTCCCCTCTTTTCTGCTGTTCCTCTTCATTTTCTCTAAGCAATTAGAGTTTATTAGAAACAACTTTTGACACAATCTCATTGACTCTTTGAAACAAAGAAAACAAAAGGAAATAAAAATCCTAGAGAAGGACTTTTGGAACTGAACTAATAATTTATTTTAGAAATGTGGGAACTGAGGCCTGAAGAAGATTGTTTACTGCCACACAATGGCCAAGACATATCAGGAAGACCATCGCTCTCTTTTCTACCACCCTTCCAGAGTCCCTTCCTTATCCTATGTGACCTCAGCCCCTTTCTATTTCTTCCCCACTGGCTTCTTTCAGATCCCTACGTGCCCACTCCTTCAACTCTCAAATATACCACTTTCTTTACCTAGGTAACTACCCTAGCAATCCCTACCCTTCCACTTGGCTACACCTACTCATTTTGTAGTTCTTAAATGTCATTCCTTCAGAGTCATCATTCATGACCTTTCAAATTAGATTAGTGTTCCTGATGGACATTTAAGGGGCACTACACTTCTTCATAAGTGATTACTTAACACCTCTCTTCCTAGAATTATGAGCTCTAGGAACATTGGAGCCATTATGTTCTTATTCATTCTTGTAAGCACTTATAAGTAACTGCTCAGAACCTGGAATATGGTAAGCACTCAGAAATTTATAAATTTAGTAAATATTTACTACATCATGTCAGATACTGCTGTGAGGGTGTTACACATACCTATTCCCTTAATCTTCTAAGCTCAATGAGCTAAGCAATGGTAATACTCCCATTTTACAGGTAAAGATACTGAGGCACAGGGAAGCGGTTGGAACTTGGAATTCCAACAAGATCACACAGTGTTGACCTTGAAGGAAGAAGCTCATAAGTGAAAGAGCTGTGTAAAATATATACAATGTGCTACTGGGGAGCACTTAGTGGCATGAGAACATAATCAATGCTTGGAACAGTATTAAAGAATAAGCCTATGAACATAGTAGGCCATATTATGGCATTTTCCAAAAGCAACGATAACAGACTTCGTATTAACCATCTTTGCTCTAGTAACAAAATCTCAGTGGCTAACCACACAAAACCTTTGTTACTTGTTCATGTCAAATGTCAGTTGTAGTTCTGCTCCAGCTCTTCTTTAATCTGAGACCCAGGTTGAGGGAAAAGCCCCTTTCTGAGCCACACCATCCTCACAGATGGGAAAGCAGAGAGCTGGTGGCACCACGCAGTGGTTCCCGCAGCTTCAGTTTAGTAGCAACACAGGTCATTACCACTATCATTGAATTAATAGCCCCAAGCTCATCATTTTCTTTCCCTAAGTCCCCCAGCATGTTAGAAGCAACCAACTAACTCCATTAAATTCCTTATTTTCACTAAAATGTTCTATGGCAGCAAATGCTTGGTCACACAAGTCTTGTCTTTGCTAGACACTTGATTACAGGAACCTAAAGGTGATAATTTGAGTAATTCTTGCTCCTGCATACCATAGACCATCAATTTAATATTTCCTACAATTCTCCAAAGCTTTGTAATCTTATCTTTACACAAAGATTTTACTCATTCAATCTTTTCCTAACCAGAAAAGAAAAAAAAAAAACAACCTTAAGGCTTGGACCCAAATTCTCACAGAGGTACAGTGACTAGACCTCTCCTATCTTTACTTTGAGAGCAGGGATGATATGGAAGGAACATAATCTGTCTAACAATTTTACCATTTAACTTATACCACCTTGTCTCATTTGCCTAAGGCAATTTACATGCAGTAATTTATATTCCTCATGCCTCTGGATGTTAGATATGACTATCTAATTTTACAGGTAGCAAATAATATTAGACACCTAGAATTTAAATTCCTTGCTTCAAGTTTCATATCCAGCAGCAGAATTAGGACAAGATCCCTCCTGGTATTCTGTCCTTTGCATAGAAACACTGAAGTAAGATATTACCAACTCTCTCCCCAGACAAACACAAATACATACATCCACATATACTAAATATATGTATTACATACATACATACATACAAACACATCCCTACTTGAGATTAAACCCTTAAACAATGGGTACCAAATAAATACTAAGTGAAGAAAAAACCTTTAACGTTTGGTGCTATATTTTATCATCTTTTCTAAATCCGACAATTTTCTTTTATTACATACAACTTGATCGTTCATTGTATTGAACAATAGACATAAACTACTGTCAGCTCTCTGTTTTGTTACTGCAAGTGCTTGACAAAATTGCCTGTTTCATTTTTTATTCCCAGTAGAGTTTCCTGCCCTGGAGGAAGTGGCTCTAAAGCAGTGTGAGATCTGGAGTTGAGTGTGACAGCCCAGTAGTCTCAAGATGAAGTGTCAAGTCAGCAGACAGAGCTGCAACAGCAAAGCAGACTCTAGCCAGAAAACGACTGCTTATGGCCCAGTGAGGTATCCTGGGGCTCACAGCGTGGTGGGGAGAATCAGAGCTCTACCTCTCTGCAAATGGATGCAGGAAAGCCCTATCCTTTCCACACTCACCCCAGATAGGACCTGAACTGTTAAGACTCTGGCAGACCCAATGAGGGTGAGTGATCAAGGGTCCTATCTTGATCACAGACAGTATCACTAACAATGCTACTAGACTCTCTTAGCTTCTCCTAAATCCTAACTGCTAGAGATCTTGAAACGAAACTTGGATAAACAGACACTGGTCTGCATTCCTTTGTGTCATTCTGGGCTAAGCTAGAGAGAAAACTTAATACTGGTGTATCCATCCACTATTTGAATCTTTCCCTATTATGGAACTAAACCGACAAGAGGCTCAAGTGGTACAATGATGAACAAGTCACACAGTATCTGACCAGGAGGAATGAAAGACTCTCCAGTGAAGGATGACTACTCATGCAGAGCCATCATGCATGATGCCATTCAGAGGGTAAAATGCAGGCCAAGCAGAAGGCACCTGTTGTCTAAATATCATCCACCAAATATTAGGTATTTTTCCTCCAAAAGATCCCTTTCAGCCAGCAATTTGCTCTTTGGGTTCTTACTCTCATGCAATTTCTGAAGGAGCATAAGAAATTTAGGATGTTAGTTCCCCTCGCCTTTGAGTTTCTGACATGCCATTTCTTACGAGCACCTGGTCTATCATGTAACATTTGCTGCTCTGAACTCATCTTCAAAGCTTTAGGGCCTCCCTGGTGGTGCAGGCAGTTGAGTGCAGCACTGTGAAGCTGTCCGCAGCCTCTGCAGTGCCGGTTTGATCCTGACCAGCCGGGGAGATACCCACATGGCATAGCAGACCTCTCCTGTCTTGCCTGCTGCTCCCCTCAGCAGTGTATTTCAGTCAGTCCGCCTGCTCTGTTCCCAGCTCTGTCTCTGGTGAATCTGCTCACCCTACCACACATCTGCCTATACCCTGGTTCTTGTATACATTTAAAAAAAAAAAAAAACTTTGGGGGGGGGAAGCTTTAGACCCTTGTTTTGCAGACACTGGAAACCCAAAGGATTCTTTGCATCACTAAAAAGAGGTCTGTCTTCCTATTCCTCATGCGGTGCAGTTTTTCTATTTTCCAGATTTCTCCATCACCTCTGCTGGCTCTGGCCCAAGAAGTGTTTAATGTTTTTCAACAGAAAGGCCAGGTGTGGTTCTGACATGTAGTTTCTTCAAAGTGAATGAATGCCAGGGACATACTCCTGGAGACACTTTTAGTCACTGGTGTAGTAACACCTGTGAGATTTGATGATTTCCTCTGATCTCTTACATATCTACACAAGAACGACAGCTCAGGTATCTATCCCTCTGCTATTCCTGGTTTGCAGTGAGTATGGTATGCTATGTGGGGCACAGGTAGGTTTGTTTCCTTTATGTTATTTAAAACTGTGGGCAACAGGGCTGCCAAATCATAAATTCAGGAAATTGCATTCTGTTAGACTAAGTCCTTCCTTTAGGACTTCAGTCACCTAGTTATTCTTCAATTTCCTTGCTACAAACAGGTGGCCCAGGTCCCGAGGTCCATCCCATATCTATGTGTCTCCTTGGCACATAAAAGAGATTCAGGGAAGGAGAAGGAACAATAAAATTTCAGGTTTACTGGCAGCACTAAGTGAAGTAATCCCCCACGCATACATTCCTTACAGAAAGATCACTTACTCAACCTTTCCATTCACCCACCTGATGAGAACCTACAAATATTTTAAGAGGGTAATTTGGAAGACTTACAACAGCAGTTGTTCAAGCTGTAGCATCAGTCTCTGTCATTTGCTTTAGACTTGCCCTGGACATTTAGCTCGCTTACGTAATGAATAACTAAACTGCCTGTTTACTTATCAGGTCAACCAACACTCATTTAAACTGCTTGCCAGAAGACCACTTTTATATACTAGTGATATTCAAATATTTTTTGCTTATAATCCCATAAAAGAATTTTGGAAACTTATCTCTCCTTGCATATGTTAAAGTTAATACTTACCAATTTTATTTTTATAATTTTAAGATTGAAAAGAAGGACAGTATTTTCCAGCACAGGATGTAATTATCATGTGCTTTAAACATATTTTTGTCAAAATTTGGAATTTCAGATTAAGTTTAATTTACGTGAAATATCTACAATCCAATTGACAAAGGGAGTCCTCATTTTCAAACTAATGTGCAAAACAGTTTTATTTTCTATCAGAAAATATCTGAATTCAATTAAAATAAAAAAGCATGTTAATATGCATCCCCAATATATCAAATATCTCATTTTTGAACTCTAACTCTAATAAACAATCATAAGAGTACATCAAGGTAAAATAAAAGTCCCAACTATATAATGGCTCAAACAAAATAAAAATTCATTTCTGACTCATGTAATAGCGGTGGGCTAGCAAATACTTCAGTAGGGTAGCACTCCTAAATAGTTATTCAGGGACTTGTGTTCACAAAAGTGCTGTCCTCTCAACACAGGGTTCTGTGGTCTTTGCCTATGGAGGAGAGCATGTGGGGATGTATAGGAACCAAGCCTTGTTATTTCTGCTCCTCTATCTTTGATAAAGCTTCCAGCTACAAGGCAATTGTGGGTATGAGTGTGTAGCTGAGAGATATGCATGGTTTAAGGAAGGGGACACTGAATTTCAGAAAAAAACTTGTAAATAAGGTCTAACTTCTATAATGAATTTATGGTGCAAAAGAAACAATGTGTTGTCCTCCTAAGTATTTATTACCTAGTCTCTTTTTGCTTTTCTCTCTCAAGACTGAGCCTCAGAATCTGCCTTTTTGTTTACCTGAAAGTACAGTATTTGTCCTGTAAACCAAGCGGGGTAGTTGGAAAGAACTAACAGCCCCTCCCAAAGTTCATTCCTGTACTGATCAATAGATCAATATGAGGAAAGACTATATAAGAAAGTTGAGGGTCTAGAAATTAATTCTCTCAGATCACTTCATTCATTTTACCTCGAGGACAGGTACATAGACTCCAGTTTAGAATCACTTATGTAAAAAATAATTAAAAACACATAGGACTACATAGTTGTAATGTACAAAGCACTAGCACATTTTACAGAAACTAGAGAGTGTATGTCCAAAGTTACTCTTACAAGTTAATGTACATATCAGGGCCATTCTCTTTATTCCAGTAAATTCATTTTTACCTATGATATGAATGGATAGTTCTAGCTTTTTATCAACTGTTATGTAGAAAAGAGGTAGCAGAGCAGGCCTCAGATGACAAAGCTAGCCCATGCAGATGTTGCAGAACTTGGTCCACGCAGAACTTGAATTTTGGGAGGAAACCCTCTCTCCACCCGGTGCTGCTGCAATTCCCTGATAAGAATGATCACTGTGCCTAACCTATTTCTATAATGTAAACAATATAGTTTATGCTAACAACTTGTCTTCCTTCTGGGAATCTGAAATTTAGTTACATGCCAGCCAAAGGGTGTGATCAAGTGCCAGTAAGAACCAGAAGTGCCGACTGTCTAATAAGTTTCTCTGATTGTCACACTTGTTCCAAGGAGAATTAAGGAGTCCTATGTGACTCCACTGGAAGGGGACATTGGAAACTTGCATTGGTTTGTTTCAAACTTCATCCCTATGTGTCTTCTTCCTTTGCTGACTTTGCTCTGTATCCTTTCCCTGTAACCACAGCTGTAAGAACTGATATGCTGAGTCCTGTGAGTCCTCCCAGTGAATCATCAAACATGGGCTTGGTGTAGGCACCTCCAAAAGTATGTAAATGATGTTTGACAGAGAATTATAGATTAATTTCAGGATATTAAGAACACAGTAAGCAAGGACAGAAATTTTAGTGTATTTTGAGTTTAAGTTATTTCTTGAATTTGGAACCTCTAGAAAAAGAGAAGGGCAATTTATATACAATTTAATTAAACTACAAACTTTTAGAATAACAAAGAATAATGAGAACCATAAAAAAATATAGATCTTGCAAGTAAAATAAGTATTCTCTGAAAATTAGTAACGAAGACATCAGAAGGAAATCTTTCATGTTGAAAGGCACCATTAAGGAGAAGATTAATCTGGAATTGTGAACATTACTAAAAAAATGTGTCTAAAATAGGAAAAGAGAAAGATAACTCAGGGAGTTTATAATTAAGACAAAGGGAGGAAACTCATGGATACTCTGCTATAGCCTTGTCCCCTACCTACAGGGGTCACAAGACAGGACCTTATAAAAGACCAAGGTATTTATATAACATTTCCTCCAATTTTAAACTTTATTTTTCCCTTTAATTTTATAAGTAATGCAAAAGCTGCAAATTATACAATAGTATGTATAAATTTTTTTAAGTCACCCAATATCCTGCCATCCAGAGGCAACAATTATATAGCATGTTTCTTTCAAGTCTTTTCCCTGTTCAATTTTAAATAACTGGGAAACATTCTGTTTATATAATTTCTCTTTATTTTTTCATCAAAACATGACTTATGAGGAAATGCTATTGGCAGGAATTTAATAAACATGTTGAAAACTCCCCCCCCCCTTTCCAATTGTGCCAGAGATACTCATATGTGGAGACTGGAGGTCCCCGAGTCCAGAGTCCAAGTATTTGCTGGCTGAGGAAACTGAGAAACCCAAAGATTTTAATTCCAATCACATTTTTTGAGGCCATTATTGGAGAGATGATGGACTCAGTTGCAAAAGGACAGATGCCAGGAGAGGGAAAGTACATTCAACAACAACAACAAAAAATAGCCCAAGTATGTGCTGAATGTTTTTTTGCCATGGCTCCGGTTGATATTTGAACACGACACAGAACAGAACAGTGGGTATAGATGCTTTTCTCCCTAGCATGACTGTTCTGGGACACTGAAAATGTATTTCACTATATTGACTTGATGGGGTGACTTCTCATACTGCTGGACCCAGGACTCGTGATGAAAGACTCAGGGGTTAAGATGCAGTTTAAAGGTGTGCCTTTGAGTCGGAGATCCTGCTTTATCCATGTTGTGCTTAACTCTGGAAATAACACAGGCAGCACTGAGGTTAAGGGTAAGGAGTACTGCTATTTGAGTGGCTTTTCAAGCTCAAATAACTGAACTCAGTTTTACCAAATGCAAAGTAGAAATAATCACATCAACCTCAAAGAGTTGTTGGAGAATTACTTGGATACCTGGTACTGAGCAGCCAAACTGAAAAAGAACATGCAGCACAGAAACACTACTATATCTCACTAACCACTATGATATATAAGATACCCCCATCTTATATTTACCTTTGTTTTTAATCAGTGGGAGGAGAGAACAACAACTTTTAATTACCTCCAAAGCAAGCAAATGAAGCTACAAAGATTAATCCAAGATCCATGCCAACAGCATCTTTAATTCACCAGATTGTAGGTGTTCTGTTCAGAATGCTAACAACCC